GAACGGAGTTCCAGCCAAGTTGCGTCCACGTCATGCTGCTCCAGCGCGCGATGAGACGCAGCGCCGTGCGACGACCGGCGGTCAGGGCGCGCGCCGCTCCAGGGCTCCAGCCAGCGGCAGCGGCGTCAGAGAGGGGCGGCACTGGCTGCCGAGTCAGCGCCTGCTCAGGAGCGGCGGCACGGAGCTCCACCTGCAGCGCCGCGCGGGTGGCGAACCCAAGGCCCCACCGGAGACCGACGCGCTCCACCAGGCTCAACGTCGCGGAGTTCGCGAGCACGTAGTCGATGCGGGTGGGCTCGCCCTGGGAAGGCACACGCGCAGGGCCGCGCGCGGCCAGCAGGTCCCGCCAACCGGCCATGCCGAACAGCCCCTCGAAGCTGGTGTCGGCGAGGCCGCAATTGAAGTCCCCGACCAGGAATGCGGGCGCCCCTCCGAGGCCGCGCAACCACTCCATGCCTGCCAGCACGGGGTCCGCATTGCGCTCAAGATCACTCCGGCCACCGGCGTAGCCGTAGCAATTCATGAAGTGCACGACGCAGTTCAGGAGGAAAAGAAACACACAGACACAATTAATCCTCGATTTCCCAGAAAATATAGGAAAATGTGGGAAGTGGGCGGGAAGACAGAAACCCAGAAAATATGGGAAAATATTGGGGATTATTTGATTTGTGTGTATTTACTTGTGTGTCTTTGGCCCTTCAGCAGTCCCTGGCCGAAGTGCACGGCGAGGTGCTGGTGTCGAGGCTGGCGGCCAGAGAGGCCCTCCATGCGTTCTGACCGGGCCGCGCACTGTCCAGGGGCGTGCACGGCGGCCAACAGATGCTCCCCGCCGACGGCTGATGAAGCCGCATGCCGCGCGCCCGCGCCGCTGCCACCGCTGCATTCGCGTCGCGCACGGGGACGCGGGCCTCCTCAGGACTCATTTCGACTCCTCCGGTTCGATTCGATTCGATTTTGGTGGCTTCCGATTCCGATCCGATTCGACTTGGGATTCCGATTTGGGCTCCGATTTCTTGTTGGAGGCAAACTAGCCTGCCGATTTCCGCCGATTCCACTTTTCCCGACTCGCCTGCCGATTTCCGCCGATCCGATCCCTTTCGACTGCCGCATTTCGATTGCCGAATCGAGTTCTCGATTCGATGCTGGGGGCGCGGGCCTCCTGGAGGCACCACGCGGCAGCCCCGGCCGCCCAGGCCCCGCGCCAGCTGGCACTCCGTCGCGTCGCGCTGGCCGCCAACACGCGCGCCGCTCCCGGCCGCGGCTCTCCCTGCCGCTGCGCGGGCCCAGGGTGCGTCGGACCTCGCCCGCGCGGACGACCCGCCGCGGCCACCCGCGCCGCCTGGCCGCCGCGCAGGCCCCCAGCCTGGCGAGAGGCACCAGCTCCCCGACCAAGGCACACGTCCCCATCCATGGCGCCCTGCCGCCCGTGGTGGTCCTCGGCGGGGGTGCACGAGAGGACGACGTCTGGCGCTACGGAGGAGTTGACCAAATGGTTGCAAGTCTCCACGCCGGGGGGAGTGAAGTCGATACGGGAGGTCTTGCCGTGTTTGGACCTCCGCGTGCAGCCGGCGTTGAAAGTGCTAGTGGCGACCAGTGAGCACATTGAGAGGTGGTCCAACAAGGGGAAGCCGTTGCCCGTGAACGCTTCCGGCTTGCACGCGCCGAGATGTTGGCGAGGACCGCCAGAGGGTCGATGTCGCTCATGGGCTCGCCGGTCTCGCCTGCAGGGGAGATGGGCTTCTCCAGCTCCTCGACGTTGGCCGTGAAGCGGGTGATCGGCCTGCGCGAGCTCGAGCGCTTGGATGGCCTCGGTGCGGCGGGAGCGCGCGCGAGCCAGCGCAGCGCGAGCATCATCCAGACGGGCGCCGACGGGTTTGGCGTCCCGGATGTATGTTTTTTTTCCGCTGGCCCCCTCTGGGGGCGCAAGGCTGCGAAGGTGCGTGCGATCTGCTGTCATGTGTGATGTGTTGTCTCGCCAGTCCTGTTTCCTGCCTTCTGTTTACTAACTTCCAAGGGGCCCCGCCGCGTCACCAAACAGTCAACAGGGGGGGGGAACCTCAAAACCAGGCTGCTCTGGGCCACCCTAGGATTGTCATGGCGACGCCTCCCCGCGGCCAGAACGGCCCGAGAGGCCTCCAAGATTGCCCGACGAGGCCCCGAAGAGAGCCTCAGGAGGCCAAAGTGGCCCCACGATGGCCCCAAGACGGCCCAAGATGCCCACAAGACGGCCCAAGAGGCCTCCAAGAGGCCTCCAAGAGGCCTCCCAAGAAGGCCCCACGAAGCAAAAATCAAGGATTACCATAACGTTTTGGAATGTTTTTGACCTTCTCGCCTTTTCCGCTTTCCGACGCTCCGAGACGGGCCAAGAGGTTCCCAAGATCGCCCCACGACGGCCCTAGAAGCCCCCATGACGGCCCAAAAGGCTCCCGAGACGGCCGAAGACGGCCCCAAGACGGTCCAAGAGGCGCCCCAGACGGCCCAAAAGGGCTGGCTCTAAGACGGTCCCAAGAGAGGCCCAAGAGGGAGTCCACGAACCGAAAATTCTACATGTTCCGCCCCGAGAGGGCCCAGGAGGCCCCAAGAAGATCCCCAGAGGCCCCAAGAGGCCCCAAATCTATATGTGTGTATGTATGTATGCATATTTATATATATATATATATATGAAAGAGCGTGTTCTACCTCTACCGCTGCTGGCGGAAAACTGGGGGGGTCACTACCGGTTCGAACCCATCCCCCCCTACCGGTTCGAACCCCCCCCCACCCAATTCATCATGAAAAGGAAGGGGGGGTCACTACCGGTTCGAACCCCCCCCCTCTCGAAAACCGGGGGGGGGGTCACTACCGGTTCGAACCCCCCCCCTCGAAAACCGAGGGTGGGTGCGGACAGTGGTGGGGACAGTGGTGATGGGGACAGTGGTGAGGGGACAGCGGGACAGTGGTGGAGACAGTGGGACAGTGGTGGGGACGGTGGTGGTGGGGACAGTGGTGAGGACAATGGTGGGAACAGTGGGGACAGTGGACAGTGGTGGGGACGGTGGTGGTGGGACAGTGGTGTGGGGACAGTGGGAATGAGGTGGAAACAGTGGGACAGTGGAGGGTACAGTGGTGGTGGGGACAGTGGTGAAGGCGGTGGCGAGGACAGCGATGGGACAATGGGACAGAGGTACAGTGGGGACAGTGGTGGGGACAGTGGGGACAGTGGTGGGAACAGTGGGACAGCTCAGTGGGACAGCGGAGGAGTCAGTGGGACAGTGGGGACCGTGGGGATAGTCGGGCAGTGGTTGGGGCCGTGGAGAAAGTGGGGAGAGTGGAACCGTGGTGGGAACAGTGGTGGGGACAGTGGGAACAGTGCGACAGTGGTGGGGGCACTGGTGGGGACAGTAGGGACGGTGGTGGAACCAGTGGGGACTCTGGTGGTGAGGACAGTGGTGCTGGGAACAACAGTGGGGATGTGGTGTGGACGGTGGTAGGGACCGGGAGTCGCTTCCTGGCGGTGAGTGGGGGAGGTGGGGAGGGGTTCGAACCAGTAGTGACCCCCCCTCCGGTTTTCGAGGGGGGGGGGGTTCGAACCGGTAGTGACCCCCCCCTCCTTTTCATGATGAATCGGGGGGGGGGAGGGGTTCGAACCGGTAGTGACCCCCCCCGGTTTTCCAGGGGGGGGGGGGGGGGGAGGGGGGGGAGGGGGGAGGGAGGGGGGGGGGGGGGTCCAGCAGGACAGGGGGAGGGGATTTTCGGGGGGGGGGAACCCCGGGCTCCGGAGGAAGAGGGCGGCAATTTTCCACACTAAAGCGGCGGTGGATCACGCTCTCTCTCTCTCTCTCTCTCTTCTCTCTCTCTCTTCTCTCTTCTATATATATATATGTATATATATATATATATATATATATTAGCACGGGTGTGTGTGTGTGTGTGTGTGTGCTGGTAATGTTTTTTTCTATGCAACCACCTGACGGACACGATCAACGATTGATCTGGCGTGTATGCTCACCCTTCGCCAGAGTCAAGCCCAAACCAAGGCGGTTGCATGTGGGCGCGATGTGTCACCACTCAACGAGCAGTGGTGGTGGCATGTATTAGCACGTCCTGAGTATGAGGTCCCAGCTTACGCCCACTTCATCGTTCCGCCCCTCATACATGATGGCACTCACGGACCTTGCAGCAGTCACAATCAACAGTATCGCCGATCAGACGGACGGCACATGTGAGCTTGCGGCGATGCATGAGCCAGGCAATCCAGAGTATCGCTATCGAGCCTGAGATACAGCGGCGCGCATATACTGTGATACGGCATGGCCCATTACATTCCGCAGTTCTCGCCCAAGACGTCCTAGGTCGTTGCTCGAGCTCGCTGAGCTTTTGGCGGAGGGGTTCGATTCAGCGTGGGATCGCAGGGCTCACATTTGAAAGACCGAAGGCTTCATGCGGAGTTGCATGATCCTTGCCACCGGTCGACACAGGTGATACGCATTATCTTCGAACCCAGAGATTGTTATGGCACAAATGCGCGGCACGACTCATGAAATTGATTCGATGCGTCTACCTACCATTGTTCGCCCCTCTTGAGCATGGCTGTGTTGTCTTTTGTAGCCATGCCATCCAGCACTGTGCCAAGCACCTCCTCCCCCTCCTCCTCATTATCCTCCTCCTCCCCCTCCTCCTCCTCCTCCTCCTCCTCCTCCTCCTCCTCCTTTGCCTCCCCCCTCCTCCTTTTACTGTGTCTCCTCTCCTTGTCCTACTCCCCTTGTCCTCATTACCATTCCTCCTCCCTTCTCTTCCCTTTCCTCCTCCGCACGGCATCCCGTGCGTGCCCCTCCGTCGCGCGCAGCCCCAGGGTGAAGGCGGAGGACGACGACGACGAGGACGACGAGGCGGGGCAGGCGGAACATCAGTGACAGTGGGAAAAGGAAAAGGACAACAAGGAGAGGACAGGAAGGAGAAGGAGGAGGAGCGAGAGGGAGAGGGAGGGAAGCGGAAGCTGCGAGCGAAGCGGGCCCCGGAAGGGTCGCCGCCGCGTGGCTGCTGGAGCGCTCCCGGTGGGAGGCCCCCTCCGGGCCCGAGCTGGCGTCGACCCTGGGCGACCACCTCGACGCGGGCTCCCGCGTGGTGCGGAGGGGACCGGCGTGGAATCGGCGATAGATCGGCGATAGATCGGCGATAGGCCCCCGATAGTGAATCCGCACCTTCATGGGCAGAGTGGGGCTATCGGACCCTATCGGCGATCAATGGGCGATTGGGGGCCGATGCATCCCCCCCTATGCCTATCCCCCCCCCCTATCGTTGCCCCTATCGAGTTCCATCCTCCCGACGCCGTTTCGGTGAAGGGCCTTCCTCCCAGGTGCGATGTCAGGAGTTGGGGTGACAGTGCGACGATTCGCCCATGCCTCCAGCCCCACTTTACCACGGGGCGGTCGGATCCTAGTCGCACGATCCTCTCCAGGTCTTCAATCTCGGGTTGCCAAATGTTTGTTTGCCTGCTACGCCTAGCGAAATCAGGGCACCTGCGCCGCGTTGAGGCGCCAGTGTGGTGTGTAAGTTGTCTGCGCCCGAGCGGCTGCAACAGCGGGCGGTGCTGAAGCCACGTTGGTTTGGGCTGCGCTTCTGTGGATTGCCGACCATCAGAGTTGAGCACACCTGCACACGGTCGTTCTGCTTCTCGGCATCCTCCCTCTTCCCTCGGGATCGGGGTCTGGGAGCTCGTTGGCCTTCTTCGTGGGGTTGGCTTGGCGACCGCGGGCGGAGGTGGAGAGGAGGAGGCCGACGAGGACGAGGACGAGGACGAGGACGAGGACAAAGACGAGGAGGAGGACGAGGACGAGGGCAGGAGGGGATGAGGACGACGACGAGGAGGACAAGAAGGACGACGAGGGCGAGGAGGAGGAGGACGAAGAGGGGGAGGAAGAGGAGGAGGACGAGGACCAATTATCAGGAGGACAAGGGACGAGGAGGCCGTGAAGGGCGAGGACGAGGGTGCAAATCCAAGACGCATGAACGATGTTGTAAAACACCTTCCCTCCAAGTTCCCTCTTCATAAGTCGCTGCAAGAATTTGCGGTCACTGCTGGAAGTGCCCCGTTGGAAGGCAACCGCTGTGAGAATCCTCAATCGTGCCAAAGCATTCCTTGGAATTCAACGCAGCGAATCAATTTTACTGTCGCGTCCATACGATCCTGTACCGTGCCAGAACACCAGGAACTGTAACTTCAACACGGCGAACCAACGTGACAGAGGTTCTGTGACATTTTTCCCTGTCTGAACAACGTTCCTGGGACGCGAACCATAGGAGTCCGCCCAACAGCTGCTAACTTTTAGAACGAATGTGCGCGGCGCTAAGGCGTCAGATTTCGAACCCCAGCCGCCGTCCACCCGTGCAGCCCTTGCACATGTCGAAGACGAATGTGCGCGGCGCCCAGGCGATAGCCATATGCTTAAAACCATCCGCCTACCATCCGTGAGACTCGCACTGGCGTTTAAGACGAATGCGCGCGGCGCTCTGGGGATACCCCACATTTTGAAAAGCAACCGCCATCCACCCGTGGAGCCCCTGCAAGCCTGTAAGACGAGTGCGCGCCGCGCTGAGGCAAGAGTCACAGCTTGAAAAGGAGCCGCCCTCTGTCCGTGAGGCTCCGGCACAACTTTTCGAGGCGGCTGCGCGCGGCCCCACGGCGAGGGCCACGGTTTGGAAAAGTGCCGCCCTCCACCCGTGAAGCTCGTGCAAACTTGTCAGACGAATGTTCGCGGCGCCATGCCGAGATGCATCTGTTTGAAACGATATGCTCTCCGTTCGTGAAATGTTCGGCGAACGTTTCAGACGAACGTGCGCGGCGCTATTGCGAGTGCCGCAATTTCAAACGGGGACCTCCATCCGTGAAGCTCTTGCAAGCTCTGAAGGGGAATGTGCGCGACGCCGCGGCGAGAGCCACAGCTTGACAACCAACCGCCTTCCACCCGCGAAGCCCTTGCAAACATTTAAGACGCATGTGCGTGGCGCTACGGCAATGTTCATATGTTCGAAACCATCCGCCCTCCATCCGTGCAACTTCTGTCAGCTTTTTAGACGAATGCGCGCGGCTTCCAGGCCAGACCCACATGTTCAAAAGAACCGTCCTCCACCCGTGACGCACGGGCAAGTTGTTTAAGACGATTGTGCGCCACGCAGTGTCTTGCGCAAACCTTGTGAGACGAATGTGCGCGGCTCTACGGCGAGAGTCACATGTTAAAAAGGAACCTCCTCCCATCACTGAAACTGCTGCAAACTTTCAAGACAAAGGTGCGCGGCGCCTAGGCGAGAGCCGCTTTTTGCAAAAGAACAGCCCTTCATCCTTGTCGTCACTTGCTGCGCACTATTAGGACGAATGCATGCGCGCGGCGCTTAAGCGAGAGCCACCGTGTAAAAACCACCCGCCCTGCATCCGCGAAACGCCTGCAAACTTTTAAACCAAATCTGCGCGTCGCTGAGGCGAGAGCCACATTTTGAAAACAGCCCTTCCTCCACCCAAAATTGCTGCAGGACGCAAAGTTTAAGGACCACAGTGGGTGGGGAAGAGCCAGGCGAAACGCCGGACCCGCCCTACAGACACGCTTCGGGGTGCGACAGAAAGAGTTAAAAAGGAAAAAGGATGGAGGAAGAGGAGGAAGCGGAGAAGATTGGAGGAGGCGGGCCTGGGGGAGGGCCGCGGTGAGGCTGGCCCAGGGGACGGGGGGGGGGGGGCGGGGAGCACAGGGCGCCCGCGCAGGCTAGCCACAGCGGCTTGGAGGAGGGAAAAGGAGGAGGAGGAGGAGGAGGAGGAGCAGGAGCAGGAGCAGGAGTAGGAGTAGGGCCCTCCTCCTCGCTCTCGCTCTCTCTCCTGCCTCTGGCCTCGTCGGCGTGGCGGCCCCTAGCTCTAGGGGGTCGCGGGGTGGGCAAAGCCCCATCCCGATCGGGCGTTCGTGGGGGTCGGACTCAATGCGCGCTTGCTTCGTGCGCAGGAGCAGGAGTAGGAGGAGCAGGATACGGAGGAAACAAGGAGAGGAAGGAGCAGTGGCAACCCAAGAAGTATCAACGAAGTTGTTTATTTTCAGCAAGAAAAACTTCCTTCCAAGTTCCCATGAAAGGCCCCTAAAAGAATGTGTCTTCATTGCGGGATGTGCCCCATTGAACGACAACCGTCCGACAATCCTCAATCGTGCCAAAACCCCATTCCTGGGATTTGAACGCCGCGAATCAATGTAATTGTTGCGCCCTGAGAATCCGAAATCGCGCCAAAACACCATTCATGTAACCTCAGCACCGCGAATCAGAGTGACCGAGGCGTCTTAGTCATCTTATGACATGGCGGAAGACCATTCCTGGGACGTCAACCATGAGAACCCGCTGAATTGTTGCAAGCCTTGATAACGAATATGCCCGGCTCTGAGGCAAGATCCATAGTTTGAAAAGGACCCCCCCTCCATCACTGAAAATGCGGCAAACTTGTAAGGCGAATGTGCGCGTCGTTCAGGCGAGAGCCACAGTTAAAAAACGGGCCGTCCTCCATCCTTGAATATGCTGCAAACTACGACTACTAATCGAACCATCGATTTAAAACCAGCCGCCCTCAACTTTCGATGCCGCTGCAAATGTCAAGCGTCATGATATCAGGAAACGCGTGGCCCGCCATACCGACACGCCCGTGGATTCGACAGGGAGTAGTTTCTTCTTAGGAAAAGGGATCGAGGGAGGAGGAGGAGCAGCAGCAGCACAGGGAGGAGACGGAAGAAAGAGGAGGAGAGGGAGGAGACAGAAGAGGAGAAAGATGAGGGAGGAGGGGGGAGGAGAAAAGGGGACAAGAAAAGTAACAGCGTGAGGAGGAGAGGACGAGAAGGAGACCGCAGGCAGCCCACGCACGCAGATGATGGAGGCCGAAGGAAAAAGAAGACAGGACGAGCAGGAGTTCGAGGAGGACGAGGACGGGGGAGAGGTGGTAAGTTTGAGTTCGGCCCCTGGTCCTGACCCGTGAACTCTCCGTTGGCCTCCTGAGGGCCCCAAAAAGGGACCTAAGCGCCCAATACATTCGATCCTCGATATATTCGATCCTCGATCCTCGATGTATTCGATCCTTTATCCTCGACCTTCCATCCTCGATCGTCACGACCAGAAATCAGGAGGGCCCGATTTGCCAGGCCTCTGGAGACCAGGACACAGACAAACCAGGAAACGGAAAACCAAGGAAACGACACGTTTTCCTGCAAAGTCATATTTTCCATCACCCGTGCATCTTTTGTTTGCTGCACTGGAGGATTCGGGTTTGTGTCTGGGTTTGGGCGGGGTCTTGCAGGCTTTTAGGGCTTGTGTCCGGGCTAATTGTGGACATGTTGCAGTGCAGTATTTTGTTCGTGCCGCCGTCTGGAAAAATGGGTTTCGAGGGATGTTGGGTGTCCGGGTTTACGGGGCCCTGAATTCGGGACCGGGTTGGCGCCGTTGTTCTTGACCACGGGGCCGGGCCTCTCGACACGCCGCCAGCCGGCCTAACCTCAGGAAGGGGAAAACACACACAGACACATAATCGTCGATTCCCAGGGAGCAGAGCAGATGTCGGCGCGCCGTTTCTTCCGACGCGTGTCTTTGCGCCTTGGGGAGGGCGCCGCGGCCACCAGGGCAATCGCCGCATCGGACGCGGTTGGTTCGCCCTCGGTTTGCGGCGGTGCCGTCGTCTACCTGGGACGCGGGACGCAGGGTTTGCAGTGGGTTTGCCGTGGTGTCAGCGTCGCCCTCTCGTACGCGTCGGGGACAAACGGCGCGGCGACAGATATTGATCAGCACAGTTTCGAGTATACGTATTTTTTTTGCCAGTCTTGTCTGGGCGATGTGCATGGAGTTCCTTTTGGTAAGAGCTGGTGTTCGGTGCGTTTTGCTGGCTTGCTCATGATTGTTATGTGTTGATGCACTTTGAAGGATTGAGCTGCGTTGCGTGTTACAACTTCCCCTCGTTGACACTGATCTGCATTACAGCGCACTGCTTCAAATGACGAGTTTCAGATGATTTGCATTGCGGTTAATTGCGCTACTGCTTCTTCGTCGTGCACTGAATTGCGTGCAGTGCGTTACATTATTTTCCTTTGCACTGCATGTAGTTGCTTCACTCTGCAATGTTTCTCTGTACAGTTACTTGCATGACAGTTGTTTCTCAAGGTTGGAAGGTTCTCGGGAAACTTCGGGGATCGGTGCCAGCCTTTCCCAGGGAACCCTGCTAATCCAGCCTCAAGACATCATCGCAGCTGGTTCCCATTCTCAGAAAAGTTTGACCCCTCAGTCAGGCGAGGAACCTCACTGCAAGAAAACGTCGCCACCAGCATCATCGTCATTAACAGTAGCCATTCTGGTGGCTAAAGCTAGTTTTTTGATCGAGTAATTTGGGCTCTTGTCGCCAGGCCCAGAAGCATAGGAAACCGTGAGTCTCGAACTCATCTGAACAATGGCGCCCAAACGCACAGTGTCCGTTGTCAGCGCCATGGCGGCTTTGGCCACGCGCAGCAGGATCACCATGGCAGCAGATGGCACCGGTGACCGTGGGGGGTTCTGCTGCTGGGCCGCAGACGACCTCACGGATTTCTGCGGAACTTGCTTGCCGATGGCAATCGCTGGGCCTACGAGTTATTGCAGCAAATCCCAGGCTTGCAGAATTGAGAGAACATGATTATGAAAAGTCTGAGGTCCGTGCGATGTCCTTGGATCGCGCTGGGCCCCGCTTCCCACACCCCTTTCCGCGGCGCGCGGAGCGCGCTGGGGGGCGGCGTCAGAGGCGCCGACAGGGGTGCGGAGGGGGAGTCCAGCGCCGACTCGAGCAATCCGCGCGGACTTCAGAAAGTTGCTGTTTACGTAGTTGCTTGGTTCTCGAAGGCCGCGTGCGGCTCGTGCGGGTCGGCGACCTGGTGCGAGGAGAGCACAGGGAGCCCTGAGGAGGTTGATGCTGGAACCGAGCTGGTCCTCAGCTTCGATGGCACGCAGGCGCTCGCCGGGGGCTCTGTCATCAGCCTGCGAGTCGGCGGCAAGACCTACAACGTCACCGTGGTGGACTCCAGCTTCGAGGCGTTTCCGACGCCAGCTCCCACGCCAGCTCCGACGGCTGCGGCACCCGCGCCAACGCCCGCGCTGGCACCGGTCACGGGCGCTGTGGTACCGAACGTCGAGGCCGTGAAGCAGCACGGCAGGCTGCGCGTCCAGGGCAGCACGATCGTCGGGGAGCACGGTATGCCCGTGCGCCTGCGCGGCATGTCCATGTTTTGGTCGCAGTGGATGGGCCAATACTGGAGCGCGAAGAAGAGATAACTGCACAAGCAGCCCCGTCGGTCGTTGAGAGTATGTATTTCTGGAGTCCCACATCCCAATCTACTTCCAGCGCCTTCCTGCTTCAAGAATCGATCTGCTCTTGCTGCGTTCTGTTACTCTCTGGGCGGGCCCGAACTCAATCTACTTGATCCACCTTCCTACTTCCTGCTTTTACCTGCTTCCGACCGCCGTGTCGGTTTTCGGAGGTCCGCGCGGACCTCTTAGATCGGAGCCCGGCCGCCTGACGCGCTCCGCGCGCCGGGGAGGGGCGCCCAGCGCCAATCCAAGAAGTCCGCGCGGAGCTCCGAAAGGTGTTGCTTGTGCCGTTGTTTCGGGCCGGGCGAAAAGGGGGGGATTGGGAAAGGGGGGGTTACGAAATTTGCTGCATGCAGCTGGTTTCGGCCTCACCGAGGGGCGCATTCCTCGATACACAGCCGCCTCCGGCGCCGGGAAGCGCCGGGAAAGTCAGCTACGTGAGCTGATTCTCACCCCCCCCCTTTGCTATCCCCCCCTTTCGCCCGACCCGGTTGTTGCTCTTCCAGGAACCCCGACACCATCAGGTGGCTCAAGGAGGACTGGCACGTGTCCTTCCTCCGCGCCGCCATGGGCGTGGAGCAGGGGGGCTACCTGGAGAACCCTGGTGCGGAGAAGGCGAAGCTGCAGGCCGTGGTGGACGCTTGCATCGACGCGGGCATCTACGTGGTGATCGACTGGCACGCCTACCACGGCGAGGACCACGTCGAGGAGGCGAAGGCCTTCTTCGGCGAGATGGCCCAGAAGTACGGCGACAAGCCCCACGTGATGTTCGAGACGTATAACGAGCCTCAGCAGGTCGACTGGTCGGGCGTCATCAAGCCGTACCACGAGCAGGTCGTCCCCGTGATCCGAGAGTTTTCGGACAATATCATCATCTTGGGCACAAGGACGCAGTCGCAGGCGAATGAGGAGGGGAAAGAGAGGAGGTGGAGGAGGAAGAAAGAGAGAGAGAGAGAGAGGGGCGGAAAGGAGGGAAGAGGAGTGAGGACGGAGGGAGCGGGGAGAGAGGCAGAGAAGGAGGGAGGGAGGGAGGGAGGAGGAGGCGGAGGAGGAGGCGGAGGAGGAGGAGGAAGATGTTTGACATCCATTGCATGGCTGTGTGTAGCCTCGTCTGGCTGCTGGCAAAGAATTGCAAGCCTTGCCTGGGGAAACACCCCCTGAAAAACATGCGCGATCAAGGGCCAAGACCCAGGGGCACCAACCTCTGGCCAGGCCACGAAACTAGCTCAAGTTTCTGACAGAATGGCCTCGACGCACAGTCCTGATTGTACAATCAAGAGGGGCGACAAGAAGGGCTGCACCCTGGAAGCGGCCTGCGACAGACCCAGCACGCAGCAGCATGGTGGCCCCCAGCTAAAGGAGGGGCAGCAAAGAAAGAGAAGCCCATCCAACGACCAAAAGGCCGCAGGCGAGGCTTGCCCCCGAAATCGTCAGTCCGAGTCCTTCTCGCCAGAGGCACGAGGCGCCGCGACGAGAGGACCCACGTCTTCCTCCACACGGAACGATTCTGACATCCGCTCCAAAGTTTGTTTGGAGATTTGGTCCTAGCCGGTGGCCGCCACGAAAGCGAGAGCCGTTGCGGGGGCACCTCCCCTGGGTACAGTGCCACGTCCACCCTGAACAGAAGTAGCGGACGCGGCAGCAGCGATGGGGGGCACATCCCGTAGGCACAGTGCCAATTCCACCCAGAACAGAAGCAGTCAACGCGGCATCAGCGATGGGGGCAATCCCGAATGTACAGTGTCACGCCCACCTTGCACAGAACCAGCTGACACAGCATATAATGTGCTGAAACATTCATACAGATGCTGGTGTCCACACTGATCCTCATCCTCTGCTTGCTGTAATGAGGGTGACGGTCCTTGCAAAGAGCCTGCCAACCATAGTGAGCAGCACGTGAAGGATGGGGACACAGCGAGATCCGAGCGACAGGACGATGCCCTAGAGCATCCTGTTCAGAGGCGTGTGAATGCGAGGTACCTGCACAGTGGTGCCGCCGATCCGGGGCGCTTTTGATGCTATTGTTGGGATGGGCGATGACGACGACAAGGGACGACCAACGGTCGACGAGTGGGATCATCACGACGACGACGACGACGACCGACGAACGGGTTAACGACGACGGTTGACGACGACGATGACGACGACGACAACGACGACGACGACGACGACGACGACGACGACGACGACGACGACGACGACGACGACGACGACGACGACGACGACTGACGGCGAACGGCTGCCGACGGCCAGCCTCTTGGGGGCCTCTTCTGGGCCTCTTGGGTCCTGCTAAGAACCTCTTGGGGTCTTCTTTGGGCCCTCTTGGGGCCCTCTTGGGGGCCTCTCGGGGGCCTCTTGGGGCCTTGGGGGCTTCTGGAGACCGAGGGCTCGAAGTTTCTGTTCGGGTTCCCCGTCTGGCTCCCCTCTTGGAGCCGTCTTGAGAGCCTCTGGGGTCGTCTTGGGGGCTTCGTGGGCAGTCTTGGGGCTCTCTTGCGCCGTCTTGGTGCCATTTGGGAGCCTCTTGGGCCGTCTTGGGGCGATCTTGGGAGCCTCTGGGGCCGTCTTGGAGCGTCGGGAAGCCGAAAAGGCGGGAAGGCCAGAATCCTCCCAAAACCATCGTGAAACTTTATGATTTTGGCCTCTAAGTGTCGTCTTCTGAGGGCTCTTGGAGGCTTCTTGGAGCGTCTCGGCGGCTTCGTGGGCCGTCTGGAGGTCATCTTCGGCGCCTTGGGGCGCTCTTTGGGCGTCTCGAGGGCTTCTGGGGCCGTCTTGGGGGTCTTGGGGGCCTCTTGGCCCGTCTTGGGGCCCGCGTGGGCCCGGAAGAGCCCCCCCCCCCCCCGGAAAGAGGACCACAATTCGTCCCCCGGCAGAGCCCCCCGCACCCCCCCCCAGCAGAGCTGAAGCTCGGGCTGTAGGCTGTAGGCTGTAGCTGAGGCTTGTTCAGACTCACGCGCCGGATCGGCGGATTAGAAGCGTTTCGGAAGCAGGTAGATCCTAACGATGTGTCTGGACCTTTGCACGCGGGTTCTCTTGAGACCAGGCGCCTGACCATGGGACGTTGCAGAAAGGGCCCTCGCCCTCGACGCCCTGAGGGAGAGACCTCTCTGCCTCGGCGGAGGGCGGCGAAGAATACGAGGGGCGGCTGCGCAAATGGCAGCTGGCGGACATACAATGTGCGCACCCGAGGGAAGCCAGCACTTCCGGATTCGGGGCTTCAGGAGCGAACCGGCTAGGAGAAAGTGAGGTTGCCAGGGCTTCAGGGCACGAGGCAGTCAGCAATCACAGGGCACGCAGACACGTAGGCCACACTGGTGACCGCTTCCAGCCTCCCAATTTAAGATAAGGAGAGGAGTCATACTGAGCAAATGGGGGGGAGGGCCCGAATGGCCGACTGATGGAGCGAGGCCAATCGGCTAGGTCGGACCCTTGTCCCCGAAGCCTTTTGAAATGCATATCGAGGATCGATGTTCATTAGTGCTCCGGTTGGCAAATATCCAGGCCGTGGCCAGCGAGCAGATATGTTGATATTGGGGGGACTGAAAGAAGCATATGTAGATCGACGTTGATGTTCACATACATGTACACCAATGGGTATACACATGAAGTAAAGAGAACAAGAGAGAGAGGCTCGACACGGGCTGTCACCAAATTGTCCTGGAAGGTCAGAAGGTGAAAGGCGATAGCTTGAAAGGTCCACATGAGAAGCCACAGGCGCAGGCGTCATGAGAGGGATGCGCAGCCGCCCAGCGAGGTGTGGAAAGCATCCCCACTCATAGAGCCTGCCCGCTGGTTTCGATCTTGCAGAAAGGAAAAAGAACATATGCCCGGACAGGGCCACGGAACGGGCGGACCGCCGATTCCGTCATTAGGGTGAGGCGCGGGGTTGTTGCATCGTCAACCAGAAGTTCGTCGGGAAGAGCAAGAAGAGGAGTTTCCGGATGAAGGAGGGGACCTTCATGCCCGGCGGCGGGTGAAGCAAATATTCTTCTGAGGCGCCATCTGAAAATGCAACCCAATGCAAAGAGGGGCTCCTCGGAGTTGATGTGGGTTGTTTGCAGGAACGCACCCGGGGAATCATTGCGCGGCTCTCGCGGCCCTGGGGCACCAGAGGAGGAAGGTCAAAAGATGGAGCAGGCGAATCGTCGAGGCAACAGAAGCTTGATCCCACGGTGCCCTGCGGCAGGGCGAGAAGAGAGGGCACAACCGCAGTGACCGAGAGAGCAGCTGTCCGGAGCCCCCTGGACAAGGACTTCAGATGAAGCAGGCAGGACACTGGCGCGCCCGAGAATTCTGCGGCCGTGGGCCGGAACAATACCCACTCTTCGTTTTCTCCAGGTGGAGTCCTCAAACCCCTGCTTGGCAATGTCCTGCCTTAGGGGGCCCTGCCTGTGTGCCATGTGTCACTCCAGGGCTTAGCTGGCTGGCAAGTCCGGCGGCCAATCTGAGAGAACAGAGGTCTCTGCATAGGGCAGAGGATTGGAAAGCCACCAATTAGTCTGCGAAAGACGCCGCAGATTAACAGCCTAGGCTACGTCTGGAGCCGAAATCCTCCCCCCCCCTTCCGAGAGACTAAAGAGTCCAGACGCGTCGCGTAACCCCACCAGCCCATCCAGAAACCATGCACAGACGAGTTGCCCTGATCAGGGATGTGGAGGAGCATGCAGTGTAATACAGGGCTGGGCAAGACGTCACACCCCAAGAGGGGGAGGATGGAGGAGGAATTGAAGAGGAACAGGAGGAGGAGGAGGAGGAGGAGGAGGAGGAGAAGGGAGAAGGGAGAGGGGTAGGGGGAGGAAGAATAGGCGGATGAGGAAAAAGAGGAGGGGGATGAGGAGGGGGAGGAGGAGCAGGAGGAGAAGGAGGATGAGGAGGAGGAGGGCGAGCAGGACTGCCAGAGGTCTTTAGGATGCCTTTCGGAGTCTCTTCAGAAGTCTTTCGAGAGCTTCTTGGAGTCCTCTTGGGGCGTCTTTGAGGTCTCTTGGCAGTCACGGGGGCCTTTGGGGGTGTCTTGGGTGCCTCTGAGAGGACCTCTTGGGGGTCTCTTGGAAGCCTCTTGGGGGCATCTTGGGGGCCTCTTGGGGGCCCCTCGGGGCCTCCCGGGCAACCGTGTTTGGGCACCAGTGGAAGCCTTTCGGACCATCTTGGGGCCATCTTGGAGGAGATCGAACAAAGGAGGGGCCGTAATCAAGTAGTGCTGCCCACCCAGTAGGCCAAAATGTGGCCAAAACCCAAGTAGAATCAGTGATGTTGGCCTTCTCGCTGAGGCCATCTTGGACGCTCCAACCCCTCGCGAAACGCCCCGTCCAAGTCCAGAGGAGGGGGGGAGAGGAAGAGAACGGGGGATTGTGGAGTACCTCGTCTCTCGGAGGGTGTTTTCTCGTTTCTCCATCCCCTGTTCTTCCTACTTCTCCTCTTCTGTCTCCTCCTCTTCCTCCTTCTCATCAACCTCCTCCTCCTTATCCTTATCATTATCCTCATCCTTCTCGTCTTCCTCCTCCTTTCCTCAGAGTCGTGTTTGACCCCCCTCAAACAAAACAAACAAACAACACGGATCGATCCCAAAATGTGTTTGTTTGGAGGTGGGCGGCGGTGGAAGGCGAACGCTTCCTCCTTTCTCTCTCACCCGCCCTCGTCCTCCTCCTCTCTCCTCCACAATCGGGTTTTTCATCTTCCTGCCCCCCCAACAAAAAAGCGTGATCGCTCTGCGATTTGTTTTTTGGGGGAAGAGAAGCAAAACAACGATTCTGGGGGATGGAGGAGGAGGAGGAAGAGGAGGAGGAGGAGGAAGAGGAGGAGGAGGAAGAGGGGGAGGAAGAGGGAGGAACATGATTTTTAACTCGCCCCCATTAAGCACTGAGCGATCGAAACCCTCCACAGAAGGATTGCGATTGAAATCCTCCACCGACTGGTTCTTATTGAAATCGCCTGCAGAAGGATTGCTATTGAGATGCTTCGAAAGAAGGAATCCCCCCGTTGGCATTGCATTGGCATTGGTTTGGCAAAGGTTCTAGCATTGCGCAGGACTTGTGATTTAAAGTGCGTTGGCATGTCGCTGGCACTTCGCAAGCATTGCGTTGGCGAGTCCTGACGAAACCCTCCACAGAAGGACTCTCATTAAAACGCAGAACAAGAAGGACTTCGAATTAAACCTTCCACAAAAAGGGTTCATGTTGCAATCCTCCACCGAAAGATTCCATGCGAAGCCCTCCACTGAAGGATTCTGACTGAAATCTACCACACTGGACTTCCCCAATTGGCATTGCATTGGCATTGGGTCCGGGTCGCCTTGGCATTGCGTTGGGACGTTGGTGCTGCTTCGGCATTGCTCTGGCATTGCGCTGGCGAGTCCTAGTTACCCCCTTCGCAGAAGGATTTCAGTTGAAACCCTCCACAATAGGAGCCCTGTTAAAATCTACCGCAACGGATTGCCCCCATTGGCATTGCATTGGCATTGGGTTGTGATCGCCACGGCATTGGTTTCGCATTGCGTTGGCATCGCGCCGGCGAGTTCGAATCGGACGCTCCATCTGAAAATCCGTACGAATCCACCCCGACAAGAAGGATGCCTAGCGACCCCACACACACAAGAGGGATGCACCTTGACATCTTCCACAGGAGGATTGAGAAGGATTGCAATCGAAACCCTTCACAGGAGGATTCCGATTGACATCCTCCAAACATGGGTTCGCAGTGACGTCACCCCAGAAGGTTTCTCCTTGAAAAACACCTAGAGAGGACGCCCACAACTGGAATTGGTTTAACATTATTTTGGCATTGCGTTGGAAGAGCGCTTGCATTGCGCTGGCGAGTCCTAATGTCTCCCTTCGCTGAAGGATTCCTGTTGCAACCCCCAGAAGAAGGATTCTCATTGAAATCCACCATAAAGGATTGCCCCCTACGACATTGCATTGGCATCGGATTCGGATCGCCTTGGCATTGACTTGGGATTGCGTTGGCACGGTTTGAACATTGCGCTAGCATTGCACTGGCAAGTCCGAATGCCTCCCTTCGCAGAAGGATTTGCCTTGCAATCCTCCACAAAGACGATTCCGATTGACATCTCAAACGAAGGATTGCCCCCATTGGCGTTGGAGTGGGGTCGCCTTGTCATTGGTTTGGCATTGCGTTGGCACTGCTTTCGCATTGCGCTGGCGACTCCTAATGCCCCCCTTCGCAAAAGGATTCCTCTTGGAACCCTCAACAAAAATGATTCCTGTTGAAATCTACCACAAAGGATTGCCCCCAACGGCATTGCATTGGCATCGGATTTGGGATCGCTTTGGCATTGCGCTGGCACTGTTTTGGCATTGCGCTGGCATTGCGCTCGCGAGTTCCAACGCATCCCTGCGCAGAGGGATCCCTATTGCAACACCCAGGATGATTCTTATTGAAATCCACCACAAAGGATTGCTCCCATTGGCATAGCATTGGCATTGTGTTGGGGTCGCCTTGGCATTGGTTTGGCATTGCGTTGGCACTGCTCTAGCATTGCGCTGGCGAGTCCGAATGCCCCCCTTCGCAGAAGGATCCCTCTTGAAACCCTCTGCAAAAAGGATTCCTTTTGAAATCGACCACAAAGGATTGCCCCCAACGACATTGAATTAGCATCGGATTTGAGATCGCAATGGCATTGCGTTTGCATTGCGTCGGTACTGCTTTGGCATCGCACTGGCGAGTTCCAGTGCCTGCCTTTGCAGAAGGATCCCTATTGCAACCCCCTGGAGGCTTCTTATTGAAATCTACGACAAAGGAGCATGGTCCTCGAAATTCCAGCCCCATGCCGTTTGGCGCAAGGCTTGAGTTTCGAAGACCATGCTCGGGGGGGCATTTTGTCTTTGAAGAGGCTGGCAGAACAATCGTACAGTTTCAGCAACGAGTGCAAGGAGAGACATAAAGAGATAGTGACAGAACGCGAGATAACGATACAACGAGAGACGCATATCATGATGAGGTCACGGCGAACAGAAAATTGCAAGAAGAAACATCAACATTTAAACATGAAGGAGCGTTCCATTCGATAAAAACCATATGACAACGACGAGGTACTCCACAATCCCCCGGCCTCGGAGGGGATGGGGCGAACCCCTCCCCGAAAGGGAAGCGGGACGACGGGAGAGAGAGTTCGCAAAGCCATTCACGCCCTAAGGGCCAGTGGGATCTGCAGCCGTCTGCGGGTGCTTGGGCGGCATGCCGGGATCGGGGGAGTGTCGCCGGGGTCGGTAAGGCTCGGCCCGAGAATGTAAGCCCAGTGCCATGTATTGTGCCCAGTCGTGCAGCGCAGGCAGGCCCATGAAACGCGGCGGAGCGACCCGTCAGGCAGAGTTCGCTGGCACGCAGGAAGGAAGAGGACGGAGCAGAGAGGAGAAAGGAGGCGGGAGGAGAAGGAGGAGGGACGATAACTACAGAAGATCGAGCAATGAGATAAAGCAGGGAAGATATAACATAACGATAAAACAGTTCTCGTCTCCCTCCTCCTTCCCCCCCCATCCGAATCACGTTACCCCCCCTCCCCAGCATCCCTCCCACCACCCTCCCTCTTCCCGGGACCAAGGACGTGGTCGCAGGAGGTGGACGTAGCTTCGCAGGACCCGGTCTCGGGCGACAACCTGGCGTATACTGTACATTTCTACGCCGCCTCGATGGGAGCCGATCTCCGGGGAAAGGTCCTCCTCCAACTCATCCTGCCGTTCCTGCTGACATTGTTTCTCCTCATCATCCGCATCATCATCCTTATCCTCCTTCCTCCCTTTTCCTACGTCATCATGTTCCCCCTCCTCCTCCCTCGCCGTGACGCTGTCGACCCTTTCCTAAGCTGGGACATCTGCGAGAGCGAGCTCCCACCGATCACCTTGGAGGCCCTGTAGGCGTCTTGGGGGTCTTTCCCCGAAAGAGCTGGACATGTTTGGGACCAGCTCCACCACAAGCTGGTCCTGCACCTGCCCCCGGAGTGCCAGCGCAGGGTTTCGTCAATCATTCAAACCTTCGAGGACAGCCCGTCTTGGATGTTGCAGTTGGTTACGAGTACTGCGTTCATCCCAAAACCACGAATACTGCGTTCATCCCAAAACCTGGAGTGGGAGTTCGGCCTATCCGGCTGCTGTGTCTGTTTTTGAAACCTTGGAGCAAGCTCAGACAGCTCTTCGTTCAGACAGCCTCTCAGCATGGATTGGGAACGGGCCCACGACCTGGCCTTTTTTGTAGGAAGTGGACCGACGACCACGCGCGAGAAGGCCGGTTGGGCCCACAACCCCATTGGCGCGCTTTGCCGTGCTGTGGGCACTGATTGTGGCACCGTGCTGTTCGATATGCAGCAGTTCTACGAACATGTGCGACATGCTGATTTTTTTGCAGCGGGCCGTCAGTTCGGATTTAACCCGAAGTTGTTGGAGGGATCTTGAGACCGTCTACTGGGCATCCAGGGCGCTGCTTTATGACAGGGCGACTTCGGGGCACCACCACGCGACGGTAGCGATGATTGCAGTGTGTGCAGCGACTATAACACTAGCTGAGCTCCTCGTACTTGGCCTTCTCTTTTTCAAGTCGACCGTCGGCGGCAGGCCCCAGCTCCAGGTCCGAAGCGTCGTCGACGACGTGACCCTTCAGTGTTGCGGCCCCCGCAAGCTGGCGTCTGACCAGCCCCCCTCGGCGGCGAATGGGATCATCAACGATTTCTGCAAGCTCCAGCCCCCCGCGCCCCTGACCGACGAGCCCGCGGCAAAATGTTTGTTGCCTGTGTCTGGAAGCGCCGGCTCCCTCAGGAACCTCGCTCGGGACTGATGCGAACCACGGGGCCTTCAGACGAGTCGGGATCACCGGGGCTGGTCGGAGGAAGTCGGCCAGGCCCTCGCGGCGTCTCACCCACCTGCGCGAGGCGGGAGCGGAAGTGAAGTGCATCCAGCGAGGAGGCACGACGGCCTCAGCGCTGCAGGGGGCGCGCGCTCTGGGAGCCCGCCCGACGGAGCCCCGCATGCCGCGGGCCCAAGCGCGCGGGAATCGCGGCGGGCACCCGACGGGGGCCTCTGTTGGCCTCGGGCTGCGCGCGTTCACGGACCGAGCCCAGGTTTGATTCTCTGGCATTGGCGGCGGGCTTCGCGGCTTCTCAGCGGGGCACCGCGAGTTGGGAAGGGGGCCCGAAGCCCCGGGTCCTCATCAATACCTTGAAAATGGCCCGATCTGGATGTTTTCGGGCCGGGAAACCGCGGGCGGGCGCTGCGTCGCCTGCGGATGCGCATTTCCGAATGCTGCGACGCGCCGGCTGGCGCGGCGCATTCTCCCGGGCGCCAGAGAGCGATCTCCAAGAAAACAGGCATCGGTTCGGGGGGAAGGGGCCGGGAGACGCGACGATGTCATTGCCCGTCGGCGGTCGAAGGCGTCGCGCGCCACGCCCCTAAAGCCACTGCCCGCGCCCCTCTCCCCCCGAACCCTTTCCCCCAGCACGATCGCTGTTCTCCTCGGATTCAGGAGAGCAGCTCAACGTTGCCAGGCTGAGCCCAGCGGCAGTCAGGGCGCCCGTGGAAGAAAGAGTGCGACGCGAGTCGGATGGGCAGGCGCCGAAGGTCCCGCCTGGCCGCGGGCGCGGGCATTTTTGGTTGCCCCGCGGGACCTCGGCGCGCTGGGCCTCGCCAGCCGCGGGCCCCGGGCGCCCGGCGCCTGCGCGGGCGCGGTTTGGCCGGGGACCCGCGCTTCAGGCGCCCGCAAAAGTGCCGCCGCCCCAGGGTGCCCCCGCGATTTCTACGGAGGCCCACGCGGCTTCCGGAGCACCCCTCGCGAGGCCCAGAGGGCCCCGGGAGTTCCAAAATTGGGCGACAAGCTGGGGGCGCCTTGGACGGGGGGCACCTAGGCCAACCCGAACGCCGCGCGCTCTGCGGCCGTCTCGAGCCAAGAGCGCGATGCGCGCGCGGCCCTCGGGCGGGGCCGCGATTCTCGCGGGCCGCTCCGAAAGGGCGCGCAGGGCCAGAGCCGGGGGCTCCGAGGAGGGCGATTCCCGTTGCGGGGGGGCCGTGGCCCGGCGCGCGGGCGCCGGGTCAAGCGGCCGGGCCCAGGTCCCCACCATTCGGGCACGCTGCCGCTGGAAGGCCCCGCTCGCGCTCCCGCGTCGCGCTGCCTATCCCGAGCCGGCTGGTCGGCAGCGGCGCGCGACCGCGCGAGCTCGGGGCAGGCGGCGGTTCCTGGGCCCGCCCGCATGGCAAGCGCCCACCTCCGCTCGTCTCGGGAGGCGGATGATCTCGCTGCGAGCATGCTCGGTCAAGTAGCCGCGCCCCCGTTTATAGCTTGCAGGCCGATTGCGAGGGGAACGCCCCCACGCCGCGGGCGGGCCCCGGGGCCGGGGCCGGGGCTAGGCCACGCAATCCTGGGGCCCAGACGCCGGCGCCCGTTTGGGCGGCGCTCGTGCCCAGCGATTTCTCGGCCCACAAGACCAAGGCCAACTGCGACATGATAGACGCGCGCGACGGCCGCGCAGCGCCGCCGGAGAAGCGAGGGGGCGCTGCGGCCGGTGAATTTGCGCGGCAAGGCGCGGCCCTCAGGGGGGCGGAAGAATGCGGGCGCCATCGGCGGTGCTTTGCGGGTCGAGAGAGCCTGGGGGAAGATGCCCCTTATGCCAGCCGCTGACGCGGGCCCGCCGCAGCTGCCAGTCGAAGGTCTCGGGTCGATTAGTTGGCGCCGAGCATTGCTGCGATGACCGCCCGACGCTGCGCGCGACACGGCTCATCCACAAGTAATGACTTAAGTCATTACTTGTTTTTTGGAGCCCGCGGCGCCTTCCTCTCTCGCGGAAGGCCCTCGCGAGCCTTCATTCGCCCGCGCCCCCGGGAGCGCGCGCCCTCGAGCTCGGCGGATCAGCTTCGTCAAATCAGGGCGAGATCGACGCCGTTCGCCAACTAGGCGAGGTCTGAAGGGCCGCGCCTCGACACCCTTGGAAGGGCCCCGATCTCGGCGCGGCTGCGACCGACGGGCTGCCGTTCTTGACCACGGCGATTAGGCCCCAACTTCTCGGCTCAGGACGCGGGCGCGGGCGGCGGGTTTCGGGGCGCAGGCGCCGGGGGGATGGGGGGGGGGGGGGGCGCCCCGAACCGAGGCGCCAGGGGCTTCCTGCCCCGAGTGGGAAGAGCCCCCCGCCATCCGGGCGGAGGGGGCGAGACGCCCCAAAGGGGAAGCCGACGAGGGCCCAGACGCGCCCCTCGACGATTTCGGAGGGGGTTCGTCGGAGGCCCCCGACTGCGGGCCAGCGCAGCCCGACCGATCTTGGCTTTAGGCCGCTTGCTCATCCCATCGCATCCCTTCTCCTCCTCCCTCCTCTGACCCCCCCTCCTCCTCCTCCTCCTCCTCCTCCTCCTCCTCCTCCTCCTCCTCCTCCTCCTCCTCCTCCTCCTCCTCCTCCTCCTCCTCCTCCTCCTCCACCATCTCATCCCTCCCCCCCCCTCCTCTTCCTCCTCGCCCCCCCATGCGCCTTGCCCCCCCCCTCTCCTCCACGATCCTCTTGCCCCCCATCGCCCACCCATCCCCCTGCGCAACCGCGCTCGCGATGCACCGTCGCCGCCCCGCGCCCCAGCGCCTGCAGTTTGCCGCGCCGCGCTACGATTCGCGGCGGCGTTGCCCCGCGCCTCGCGGCGCGGGCGCGGCGCCTGCGGCCGCGGGCGGGGCGCCGCCGGGGAGCGCCCCGGGACCCTGGGCGCCTCCGACCCAAAGGAGGCGGGCCTTTGGCGCGCCCCGGCGCGCGCGCGGCCTCCGCGAGCTGCCCCGCGCCCAGCCGCTCGGATGGATCCACCCTGCGCGGGGCCGCGACCAGCGCCCCGACGGGCTGGGCAGATGGGGCTCTCTGCTTCCTCTCGCGGGCACATCGACCGCATGCTTCGCGAGGCCGCGCCGCGACTCGGCGTCGCCCCCCACGCTGCCGGGCGCCGTCGCGCATGCCAAGCTGGGCAGGACCGCCCAGCAGCTTGCAGCGCAAGTCGAAGGCGGGCCCCAGCGGTCGCCCCTGCTCCGGCCCGAACATCGATCAACTCGCTCGCGCTCAGCACCTCGCTCAGCGCCTCGGCGCGCGGCGGCTGCGTCGCGCAGGCTGCGCCAGACGGGCTGCGCGCGAGCCTCGGCAGGGAGGGGGCGCTGGCTGCGCGACAGAGCCGCCGCGCGCCGGGGTTCCGAGCGCGAGCGAGTCGGAGCTCGTGCCGGAGCAGGGGCGAGCTCCAGGGCCCGTTTTCGAGTTGCCCAGCAATCCGCGAGATTGTCTCGCCCTGCTCGGCGGCGCGACGGCGCCAAGTCATCCCGCGCACTTCTCCCTGTCAGACGCCAGCTCAACCCCGGCGCCGCTCGCGGACGCGCGGCGAGGGGGCGCGCCGACCACGGTCAAATTGCAGAGCGCGCCCGGCCCGAGCGACTCTGCTGCCCGGCCCCGTCAAAGTCCAGCGCCTGCCCCCTACTCTGACCCCGTGTCGCAAGACCGGAAGGCGCGGCCCAATTTTGCGCGGCCACTGCGCGATCGGCACCTCGCCGACTTCTCCCTTGGGGGCGGGATCCGCGCCGCCATCCCGTTCGTCAAGAAGAAAAGAGGGCGCCTCCGCACGGCGGCGGACTGTCGTCGCTCCAACGAGGTGTTCTCCGAGCCCGATCTCGCGAGCCTCGCGACGGGCGACGCTGTCGGTTGTCTCGAGATGGCCGACGACGACGAGGTGCTCACCGCGGAGGGCGCCGACTTGAAGGGCGATTTCCACCACCCGGAGCCCCTGGGAGCGCTGCGCTCCGCTTGCATGCCGCGCGGCATCCGAGCAGGGGCCTCGGGCATCTCATCGCTCCACGGTCGCGACGCGAAGCCGTCTGCCCGCGTCTCCCCGCGCCCGCGGGAGGCGCCGATGGATTGGTCGCGGGCCGCGCGGCGCTGCCAGTCAGTGATGGGGCGGGCTGCCGAGGCGAGCGGCCGCGGCGACGCCTCTCGCCTTCGCGATGGGCGGCCTGCCCCCATCGCTTGCATCGCCCTGTCACCTGGAGTGCGTCGGCAACTTTATCATCATCACGTGCGACGCCAGGTCGGCGCGCAACAACGCGACCAAGGTGGTGACCGAGCTGCAGCGCCGCGGCCTCGTCGCGACCAGGGGCGCCCACCTCGGCGACGACCGCAACGAGTGCGACATGCTGGTCGCCACCGTCGGCTGCGTCTCTGTCTCGGCTGCCAGGCCGCGGCGCGCGCGGCCGGCGATTCGCGGCCTGTTGGCGCAGCCGCGCGTCGGGCCGCGACGTCGAGAGGGCGCTCGGCCACGTCGTCTTCGCGACCCTCGCGCGAAGCGAGGGGCTCGGCATCTTCCAGGCCTGCCCCCGCCCCATTCAGGAATGCGACCAGGTCGAAGCCGCGCTCTGGAGTCAGTTCAGGAAGGATGCAGGTGCCCCTGGCCTGGGACGGCGTTGCCCCCCTACTGTGGCGCGAACTCCGCGCGCAGTGGCCCCTGCCGCCAGCTGCGCAGGGGGTTGGGCGCCTGCGCAGCCGAGTGGGAGGTGGGCGCCGTTCGGGAGGTCGTTCGCCATAGCGAGAGATGGCGCCATGGCAGGGTTGCGCGCTTGCCTCCTCGCCAGCGCGCCCACGGCCTCGCAACTGAGCGGCTGCTCTCGGCGGCGCCGTGCCCGACAGCGAGCTCGGCGCAAGCTTGTCCCGCGCGGCTGATGCCCAGCCCGCGGGGCCGCCTGTCGATCGAGATCTCGCGAGCTCCCCCGAAGTCCGAGGAGCGCGCTGGGGGGGGAAGAAGAAGAAGAAGAAGAAGAAGAAGAAGAAGAAGAAGAAGACGAGTACTAATAATAATAATAATGACGATGATGATGATGAGAATAATACCTCCCCCCCCCCCCGAAAAAAAGAAGAACAAACAAAATGCCCAGGGCGCGCCGCGGGGATTATGAAGTGGGGCTGTCTTGAAGGGGTGCTTGTTCTCGAGGCCCATACTGTCCTGTATCGGGTTCGACGCGATTTGCGTGTTGCGCGTATTAATGGGAAGCGGTTTCTTGTCTTGGAAAATGGTTCGGCGCCGGTTTTGGCCGCGGGCAGGAAAAGGGCCCGCGCTCGCGCTGCTGCGCATCATGCGCAAGATCAGCAGCCTTGCTTTGGCCGCGGGCTCAGCGTTCACTAGGTAGATGCCGTCCGAGTTTCACGTTGCCAATGGCCCCTCCCGGGGGCGCGGGAGCCCGTCGGGGCTTTCCCATTTGGTCCTCGAGGAGTCCCCTGTCGACGCCCACAACGCGCAGGACGCGCTCCAGGACCTCGGTCTAGCCGCCGACTCGCCAGCATTTCGTCGCCAGCCTGGGCGCCGAAACATCGGCGACCAGGACTCGACCCAGGGGTCGAGCCAGGAAGGCGAGGGCCAGGGCCTGGACCAGGCGCACGTCGCCTAACCGATGCCCGATCAGCCGGGCCGGCCTGATAGCCTCGCTGGCGCACAGGTCCTGCGCACATTTCCACGCGTCGCCGCGCGCCCTTTTCTGCGCCGCGCTGCCGGGCGCGATGGGGCACTGCGTCGCCGGCCCGCCCCCTGGGACTGCTCGGGGGCGGCCAGCCGAGACGCCCGGGGCGGGCCCGAAGGGCGGGCCGACGCCGCTCGAGCGAGCCTGCTCGGTGGACGCGCCCCCAAGCATGCCCGCGCTGATCGCGGCGACGGCGCGGACCAAGGCGGGTCGTCGCCGAGCTCGCGCCGCCGTGCTCGAGGCATTCGACGGTTGGGCGAAGTTGCGCGGGAGGTCGGCGGCGACGCTTGTCAAGATGGACGCTTCCGTCCACTGCTACCTCGCGCGCCCCTTCCTGCTCGGCCGCCACTGGACCCATGGGAATCGCGTGATCGCAGCGATCGCGCAGAGGGGCCCTCGTCATGCGAAGGCGGGGTCGCGTGTCCGAGCGGGCGGCCAAAGGGCAACGCAACCTCGCGCCCCCTAAGAGCCAAATGGCGCTGCCCATCGAGGTGGTTGCGATGGTCGCCAACTGCGCGGCGCGCCGCGGCTTGGAGCAGCCGGCGATCGCGGCGCGGCTGTTTCTCAACTTCACCGGCGTCCAGGCGAGATCCACGGCCTGAAGATCGAGGGCGCGGCGCCGCCTGCGCCGGGCGGGCCCGACGCGCATCGCTCCTATTCCGCGACGCCGCGCGCGCAGGAGGTCGGCGAGGTCTCCGAGATGGGGGAGTTCCATGCGGCCGCGAGGCTCGCCCTCGACCGCCCGCCGGGGCTCGGGCCAGCGCGGCCGCGGATGAACGCTTTGCGGCTCCGCGCGGGCGCCGCCGACGCCGCCTCGCCGTTCGCCCTCGGCCAGACGGAGGCGGCCGCCGCTTGGCCCGACGCCGCCCTGGCGCCGGGGCTCAAGAAGCCGGGCGCGCGCCACCTGCGCCTATGGAACTCAGGGCCCGGCCGCGATCACGCCGACAACCTGCGCGGCCTGGAGCACATCTGCCGCCGGGGCCGCTGGACGTCGCGGCGCTCCGCGAGGCGCCGCGAGAAGGGGGGCCACTTGACTGGGCAGCTCCACAAGCTGGGCGCCGAGCAACGCCGCCAGCCGAGGAGCGCTGCCGCCGCCCGCGCGCGCACAGGCACAGCCTGCCCTCGCCGCTGGCGCCAGTCTGCCCGACCCGCCGGCGATCCCAGACCTGCTCCTGGGCCGCGGCGGCTTCGGCAGGGCGCGCGCGACGCAAGGCGTGTTTTCGACGCTGTGGGGCGCGATTCTCGGCGAGCAGCATCCTCTATCGCAGACAGGTAACATTTCCAAAATCTAGCGCTGGACGAGGAGTGGCCGCGCGAGAGGCCGGCGCGCTGGCGCCCCCCGTAACGCCCTGACTTGGCGCCGTGACCACGGACCCGGAGCCCCGCGCGCGCGCTCTGACTCCTGTCTCCTCGGCCTCCCTGACTTCAAACTGCACCTGGAAGCCATTGCTGATGTCTCTCTAATGCTCTGAATCACCTTATTGCTACCCTCGCGCATGCGTCTGCATTTCTCTGCATATTCCCTGGCGCGTCGAGAACCCCAAGACGTCCGGGTTCTGGCCGCCGCCCCGCTTCAAGGCCCTGGTCCGTCGTAGATCGGTATTTTTCTTGGGGGCGCTCCGCGGAGGAGACACGGGCCTCCTCCTGTCCGACCTCGACCTTGGCGCGCGTTTGGCTGGTTGCATAACCGGGCGCGTCGCGCCCGCATGTGTTTGAGTTTTATCGGTGATTGGCACCGCCCTCGAAGGCTGGTTCGATCGGTGCTCAGTCCCTTGCAGTCGCTGGCAGAAACAGTCACTATGGAATTTCGCGATTTCACGGGTTTCCGATGCGTGCGTGTACCCGCCGCCGTGCGCATGGTCGCTCAAGTCTTCCTCCCCGTCCATTCCTCCGCCCTTTTGCTTCTACTTCGGCAATATATATTCGTACAGGCTAGTTGTATATCCGAGCGCTTGGCGCCCACATGTGCTTGACCATTTGTCGGTGCTTGGCACCGTCTTCGAAGGCTTGTCCGATGGGCGCCAAGTCTCTTGCAGTCGCTGGCAGAAGCATCCGCTAAGAATCATCAGCATCATCGCCAGCATCAGTATCATCATCATCAGCAGCATCATCAGCACCCTCAGCCTCATCATCACGTCTGACATGCATCCCGTCCTGTCTACACATCGTCCTTCTCCTTCCCCCCATCTCCGACTCGCCCTCCGATTTACGTGTTTCTTCTTGCCCCTCCTCGTCTACCTCATCCTCGGTCTCCTCTGCCTCATCTCTGATAGTCCTCCTTCGGTCCCCTCCTCATCCTCCCCCTCCGACTCCTGAGTTACGCGCGTTCCTCCTCCGATTCCTCCACTCTCATTCAAATCATCCTCAGCATCGTCATCCACCTTCTCTTCCTCCCCATCCTTCGCACCCTCCCCGCCGTCTTCTCCACTTTCCCATGCTACTCCTTTCCCCTCCACCCGCAGCCTTGGCCCCCGTTCAAGGGGCAGGTGGCCACCAGGACCGCGCGTGCAAGGAGGTCGTTTAAGGGGCCTGGCCTCGAACCGCCTTCCGGCCCCCGCCCGCGAAACGGCCCCAGACCACCATCGCCCACGCCCCCCGCGACCCGGCCCACACAGCCATTTGCTAAAAAGAGGGCGACGGAGGAAGGAATAATTAGTCTCGTCGCTCCTTCCCCTTCGTTCCTCATCCCTTTTCTTCCTCATGTTCCTCCCCCGTCCTCCTCCTCCTCCTCCTCTTCCTTTTCCTCTTCCTCCTCCTCCTCCTCCTCAACCTCTTACCTCTTACTTGCCTTGAGGCGTTGTCCAACTAGGTACCCCGCAAAGAAAAGTTCGGGGCGATGCCCATACAGTTTTTGCTACCCAAGCTGAGGCTGCGCCCCACCTCGGGCAGGGCCACGACAGGGCCTCAATCTCCCAAAATCAAAAAGACGCGATCGGTTAGATTGGCTCTTCCACTTCTGATTCGGGCTCTGGCCAGGCGGGCACGCCTCGGGGCAAACGGCCCCCCCCCTACTTCGTCAAAATGTTTTCTCCCGGGTTCGGTGACGCGGGTGGTGCATTGCTTCGAGAGATGCTGAGGCGACTTACGCGCATGCGACCCGCAGCAGGCCGATGTCCTGTGTTAGCGGGGTGTGTGGCTTCGCTTCGGCCCTTGCAAATTTTGAAATTTGGATGGCTCGGCCTTCGGACTTGTCTGATCTATGTTTGATGACCTGCGTTGATCGCATTCACGAGTGGCCACCAATCCCTCGGTATTTAACCTGACGCGGACACTTCAACTTGACCCCGTGCTCTCCCAAAGCTTCAACGACCTCGCTGGCAAGTTGGGAGGGTGCGTGATCAGGTTCGACGTCGGCGCGACATCAAACCCTGTTTCCTGCAAGTTGCGCGACAAGTGTTGACCTATGTTGGCCGTTATGTCAACAACATCTCGCGATCCGCCGATCTCGGTTAGCCCTGGGTCGCCCGCCCAAGACGAGATCTAGAGGTCTAAACTGCCCGCGCATGGTCTCCAACATATCGCACGGGAGCCAGCTTCTGAAAATCTACGCCCTGGAAACACACCGCCATGTGCGAGCGATCGGGTTCGACCAACTTAGAGACCACTCCGTCCGCTCTGACTCGCCGAGGGGCCCGATGGGCCAAATGCCCCGAGGCCAAGACGCGATGCGGATAACCCATTGACTCGGTGACCTCGGTTACCTGATACAGTTGCGCGCGGTCGTACATCTGCCCGATGCCCCGCAGATCCCCAGTCCAATTAAACGTTGGGCCGCGGCAGCTTCTACCTTGCACTGGCGGGCCAAGGCCGCTGGAAGCGAGGAGCTGCCTTGCATTGCCGCGCCCCGCAGCCGGACCCCCCCCGCGCGCTCCGCGCCCCCGCCGCCCACCCCCGAACCCTACCCCGCAACCGGCGGCATCCTGAGGTCAAGGCGATGCGCCGATCAGCCACTTCGCCCGTGCGCAGCAAGCGAAATAGATTCACGAGACACTGAGACGGCCATCCGATTCGGCATTCCGCATCGTGCAAGAGGTCTCCGGATTGGATTTGACCTTCTGGTGGTTTCCTCCTCCTCCACAAATGAAGGCGCTGCTGGTCTGCCCCAAGCCCGGTGGCCTTTCTGAAATTGTGATGGTCGATCTCTACTTGATCCTGGGCGACTTCGGCAAGCGGCTCTGCCCGCGCCTCCTCGAGAAGAACCCCCCATTGCCCGCTTTGCCCTCAACCAACGGGCTTGGTCCCTGGACCCCCAAAAGTGAGCGCAAGGCTGTGCATTGCGATCGACGGCTTCGACGGGGCCCCGAACGGCGGCGCCATCGTCGCGCTGTTCCACAGCTGAAGACGGGGCTTCAAGCCCCCGCTAGTCCGAGCATGGGGAGCCACACCCCCCTGCTTGAGACTGGCTATAATCCACTGCTTGAAGGACTTGCGGCCTTGCCTAACAAAATGCCATACAAGGAACGGCGCCGCCCTTTTCTGGGCACGGAACGCAGCCAGGCGCACGTCATGCGACAACGCACGGGCGCCCCGGAGTCTGGCGAGCACGCGTTGCTCTCGATCGTTTGCCAAGTGCCGAGGCAGAAGACTGACTGCCACCTTGCCTTTGACTACTCTCCGGCAGGCCGCCTCTATTCCGAACAAGCCTTCCTTTCCGTTTTCATTGAGCAAGTGGGCCCACTCACGAACCTCGACGCCAGTGCTGCCCCCGCGCTGAGTCCTTTGAACTCCCCCTGTCACCCCTTGGGCCTGGCCGCCACCAGGGGGCCTCCGCGACAGCTATGGGCCAGCCTCGATGCTCTTGTTCACCATCGAAGTCGCAGCCGGCCTGCCTGCGGCTCAAGAGACTGTCGGCTAAGGCGAACTCCGCGCCTCGGACATCCAGACGACGACTGATGTGACCGCCATCCCCATGGACATCACCGCGCGCATCTGTCTCGACATTACTCAGGAGGAAAAGAAACACACAGACACAATTAATCCCCGATTCCCCAGAAAATATGGGAAAGTATGGGAAGTGGGGGGGAAGACAGAAACCCAGAAAATATGGGAAAATATGGGGAATAGTTTTATTTGTGTGTATTTATTTGTGTGTCCTGGGGCCCCTTCAATTACACGTTCTGGCACCAAATGTGCCTAGCTGCCAGCGGTTGCAGCGCTCTGACCTCCGCGCTCCCCGCCGGCCACGGCGATCCCAGATCCGGCCTGGGGCGTCGGCCGATCCCATCGCGAGATCTTCTCGGTGCCTGCCTCGGCGTGAGGTTCCTTGCGCGCTTGGTGTCGTTGTCGCGGTAGGCCAGGCCCTTGGACTTCGCTGGCAACCTCCAGCGCCACGGGGAGCACCCTCGAGGGCATTCGGAATTCGCTGAGCTGCAGGCTTCCGATGATTCCGACGCTCGCAGTTCCCCATGGCCCTTGCAGGCCCCGCTTCATGTCGATGAGCGCATGCAATGATTGCGATACTAGGCAAAAGGCGATGGAGCGGTGGCCTCCAGGCACGTCTTTCTCAGGGGCTCGCCATGTCCCTCCGAGTTAGGCGCGGGGGCCCCATCGCTCCACCTCCACAACTGTATCGCTCCAATCTCCAGAGATGAAAAAAATGGTTTGTCCTGCACTCGGACGTAGGAACCCAGCTCCTAGAGAATTTCAAAGTTCGCCCCCTCAATAACTAGACGTTGTGCCAAGTAGACATCTGCAAAGATTTTATCCATTCGGGCCATGCGTAGAGTGGTCGCACTCCTTTGACTGCGTGCCATGACCGCTGGGCTCGCAGCGGCTCTTTCTAAGGTAATGTCAAGGGGTCGTGCCGCAGGTGCTTTTGGACGAGAACTATTGCGCCTCCATGACCTTGCTTTCCTTCCCAGACAGCGCTGATGGCTGGCGTTGCATTGGTCCGCCGTCCTAACTTGCCCATCTCTTTGACTCCTTCAATCAAGTTGGACCCGCTCCATTGCGCCCCCGCAGAGGCAACGGCGCTGTTTTAGAATTCCCTGCGCTCGATCGAAAAAACAAGTGACCTTATCTCCCCGAGACGCGACGTTGGCAAAGTAGAACCGACAACTCTGATTTGCCCCCGGCTGCTCCTGCCCAGCTAAAGTACCAATCCCACATTCAGCGCCATCATGTGTAGAGGGGTGGAACCCCACAAGCGGAAACGACGCATCGCCATCTGGCGGCGTTAGGGTCTGCCGCGTTGGGCCCCCGAAGGGCCGCGACTGGCTCGATTGCACCGCCCGCCCCGTCTCTGGCGCGGGCACTTCGGCATCGCCCTCCCAGAGCTTGCGAACTGCGCGCTGACTGCCAAGCTCACCCCCGCCCTCAGAGCCATCACCTGCGGCGGGGTGGGGCTCCGCAGGCGGAAACTGCACAGCTGCACCGCCTCGCTGCTTTAAGGCATGCCCCATGAGGCTTCCCAGGGGTCGCGCCCTGCCAGGAGTTGCAGTCCGCCCCGCCACCGGCGGCGCCCCGTTGCTTCCCGCCCACAGAGCAACCCTGCACCATCATCACGTTGGTGTTCCCTGTTCCCCTCGCACACTATGCCTTGGCCACCTCCATGCCGAAGATGGACTGCTGTCGGAGAAAGACGGATCGATTCTGAACCGGTGCACGTCACAAGGCCCTGCTGGCCCCCGCACTCGTGAGACGGCTGGCCCCTGCCCCGCGCTCTGGCACCTTGGGGTCGCAGCCCTGCCGGCCTTGCCAGGCTTGCTTCAGCTTGGCGCATGCCCCCCACGACCCGCAGGGCCAGCACCGCCAGGAGGACGTTCACCCATGTGCACATCGGGTGGCGGCTTCGGCTGGGCAGCCCCTGGGCCTGGGCCACCTGCCTCCTCTGGTTGCCCCCTGGGCCTGGTGCTTGTCCTCCCGCTGGTGTTGCCTGTGCCTGGCCGCCGCCTGCGCTTGTTGCTGTTCCTTCCACTGGTCCTTCCTCTCCACAAAGGACGCAAGGAGGTGCCCAATTGCTCTCCCAGCCCGCGAATATGATGCTTGACTTCCTCTGGAGTGTAAGTGTTAACTTCTTGCTGCGCGCGCAAGGCCCGAGTGGCCTCGGCACGCGCCTCCGCCAAGTCTGCTTTGTACTGGCGGATCTGCTATTGAGCCTCGCCAGCGGCTGCGAGGGCGACCCTCTTCGGAACGCTCGCCCTTTTGCAGGTTCCAAAACCCACAGCCTCGAGCCGTCGTCGGTGAGAGAGCTTGTCCCTCTGACACTTTAAGACAGACGCACTGACAAAGCATGGAACGAACCTTCATCCAGCGACATCCAGAAACTCTTTCCCTTGATTTGAAAGCGGCGGGGACTGCCACTGAGCCCACGCCTTGTGACTCCAACCTCCTCCACCTCTTCCTCGTCCACCTCCTCTTCCTCCTCATGTTCTTCCCCCTCCCAGCATATGCCTCGCAGCAGGTGCTTTCGCGGATAGGCGTTCCGCCCCGATCTATCTCTTACATTTCATCTCCCTCCTCTTCTTGTTCCTCGTCGTCGTCGTCCTCCTCCTCCGCCTCCTCCTCCTTCGCCTCCTCCTTTTCTTCCTCCTCCTCCTCCGCCTTCGATTTCTCCTCCTCCTCCTCCTCTTCCTCCTCCTCCTCCACCTCCTCCTCTTCCTCCTCCTCCCCCTCCTCCTCCTCCTTCTCCTCCTCCTCCTCTTCCTCCTCCTCCCCCTCCTCCTCCTCCTCCTCCTCCTCCTCCTCCTCCTCGCTCCTCTTCCTCATCGCTCCTTTTCGCTCGTCCTCGCTTCCGTTCCTCCTCCTTCTTCTGATAGGTCTCGACCGCCCTTGCCAACGGTGCTGCCATTTTCGCCACAGAGTGGGGCACCTGCGAGTACACGGGCGACGGCCGCCTTGACCTGGAGGAGTCCCAGGCGTGGCAGGACCTTGCAGGAGAGGAGGATGGAGAAGGCTGGAAGAGGGCAGAGGAGGAGGAGGAGGAGCAGGGCAGAGGAGGAGGAGGAGAAGGAGGAGGAAAGACGAGGGAGGACGCCGTCGTCATCACCCTCATATCTCGACTCCTCGTCATCATCACCTTCATCCTCGCCGCCATCGCATCAGGATCATCAGCACCACCATCGGCATCCTATCCTTAGTACTATCACCCGTCCTGCTCCCTCAAAGCTTGTTGCTAATTCCCTCTTCCTCCAGCCCTAATGCCTCCCCGTGCTGTACGTATCCCTGTGGCCGCCCACATCCCCAATGTCCTCTTTCCTTACCTCCGATCCCACCTCGCCCGTCCCCTTATCTCCCATCCCCCTTCCCGGACCCGTGTTCCTCTCGAGGGGGAGCGGGAGGAACGGGATGATGACGGGGAGGGATGCGCAGAAGGCGCGGCATTAGCAGTAACAGCATGGGCAGCATGATTAAACATTGAACTAGTTTTGTGAGTAGTCATAGGGGCAGCATTTTAACAAGTTGCAATGTCAGCTCTCTTCGCGATAGCATTCGCAGGCGAAGTGGCAATGCGGGTGAGTTGTTTAGCTCCACCAGTAATATCCATGCGCGCAGTAGCCATAGGCGTAGTAGCTCGAGTAACCACAGTAGAAGTAGCAGTAGTCGTCGTTGTCGTCGCAGTAGTACTAGTACTGATACGGCCACTCCGATCAGCAGTCGCAGCAGGTGGCGTCGAGGTAGCACACGCAGCCGTGGATGTAGTGTGAGCTATGCCACTCGCAACCGTGTTGGTAGCAGTAGTCGCAGTAGTTGCAGTAGTAGTCGTAGTGGTAGTAGTAGTAGTAGTAGTAGCAGCAGCAGCAGCAGTAGTAGTAGTAGTAGTAGTAGTAGTAGTAGTAGTCGTAGTCGTAGTCGTAGTCGTAGTCGTAGTCGTAGTAGTAGTAGTAGTAGTAGTAGTAGTAGTAGTAGTAGTAGTAGTAGTAGTAGTAGTAGTAGTAGTAGTAGTAGTAGTAGTAGTAGTAGTAGTAGTAGTAGTAGTAGTAGTAGTAGTAGTAGTAGTAGTAGTAGTAGTAGTAGTAGTAGTAGTAGTAGTAGTAGTAGTAGTAGTAGTAGTAGTAGTAGTAGTAGTAGTAGTAGTAGTAGTCGTAGTATAGTAGTAGTAGTAATAGTAAGTCGTAGTCGTAGTAGTAGTAGTAGTAGTAGTAGTAGTAGTAGTAGTAGTAGTAGTAGTAGTAGTAGTAGTAGTAGTAGTAAAGTAGTAGTAGTAGTAGTAGTAGTAGTAGTAGTAGTAGTAGTAGTAGTAGTAGTAGTAGTAGTAGTAGTAGTAATTAGTAGTAAGTAGTAGTAGTAGTAGTAGTAGTAGTAGTAGTAGTAGTAGTAGTAGTAGTAGTAGTAGTAGTAGTAGTAGTAGTAGTAGTAGTAGGGGTGACCGGCTCCTGGGTGCGAGCCGCTCCGCCGGCCCCTCCCTACAGCACTCCGTTGGGTTTCCGCACCGTCAGCGTGTTTGTGCGTGTGCGGTGTGCGGTGTGTGGTGTGTTTCGTATGCGTTTCCTATACGTTTTGCACGTCTCCTATACGTTTTGTATACGTGTCCTATATGTTTCCTATACATGTTGTATACGTTTTTTATATGTTTCCTATACAATTTGAATACGTTTCCCGCATGTTTCCTATACGTGTTGTATACGTTTCCTATACGTTTTGTATGAGTTGCCTATATGTGTCCTATGTGTTTTGTACACGTGTCCTATATGTTTCCTATCTGTGGTGTATACGTGTCCTATATGTTTCCAATATGTTTCCTATACGGTTTCAATATGTTTCCTATATGTTTCCTATACGTGTATGTTTCCTAAACGCTTCCTATATGTTTCCCATACGTTTCCTATATGTCACCTATATGTTTCCTATATGTTTCCTATATGTTTCCTATACGTTTTTTGTGTTTCTCATACGTGTCCTATATGTTTCCTATATGTTTCCTATGTGTGTTCTATAGGTTTCTTGTGTTTCCTATACGTTTCTTATGTGTTTCCGATTCGTCTCTTATATGCTTCCTAAACGTTTTTTATATGTGTCCTATACGTGTCTTCTATGTTTGCTATACGTTTCCTATATGTTTCCTATCCGTTTCTTCTCTGTTTCCTATACGTGCCATGTATGTTTCCTATACGTTTCTTCTATGTTTCTGATCAGTTTCTCATATGCTTCTTATACGTGTCTTATATGCTTCCTTTACATGTCCTATATGTTTCCGGTACGTTTCTTATTTGTTTCCTATACATTGCTTCTATGCTTCCTATACGTTTCTTCTATGTTTCCTATACGTTTCCCCTGTGTGTCCTATACGTTTCTTATATGTTTCCTATACGTATCTTCTATGTTTCCTATACGCTTCCTGTACGTTTCCTTCACGTTTCTCATATGTTTCCGATGCGGTTCTTATGCGTTTCTTATATGTTTCCTATATGCTTCCTGCACGTTTCCTAGATGTTCTCTATACGTTTCTTATACGTTTCTTATACGTTTCTTGTATGTTGTTGATATGCTCCCTAAACGATTCTTATATGTTTCCTGTACGTTTCTTATGTGTTTTATGTACGTTTCCTATATGTTGTGTCTACGTTTCCTATATGTTTTGCATACGTTTCCTATATGTATTGTATACGTTGCGTTTATGTTTTGTATACGTTTCCAGTATGTCCCATACGTTTCCTGTACGTTGCGTATACGTTTCCTATATATTAGTATACGTGTCCTATATGGTTTGTACACGTTTCCTATACGGTTTGTATACATGTCCCATATGTTTCGTGTACGTTTTGTATACGCTTTCTTACTGTTTCCCATACGTTTCCTATATGTTTCCTATAAGTGTTGTATATGTTTCCTATGCGTTTCCTATATGTTTCCTATGCGTCTCTTGTGTGTTTCCTATCCGTTTTATATACGTGTCCTATACGTTTCTTGTATAGTCTGATTGGTTGTAGACTGCAGGTTAAGTGGGAGGGGGTGTGGGCTCAGGTAGCCATTTTGGGTCCGTAGCGTTCGGCTCTGGCCGACGCGCGGGTGTTCCAGGGGGCCGCGGGGCGGCCATAACCACAGCCGTGCTAGTCTGCGGACTAGGTAGCGCGCCTGTGGTGCCATGGCTGTGGGCTTCCTGGGGGCGCACCGGATGATCTTGGTTACGGGCGGCGCTCTTACGGTCCAAGGGGCACTTGGCTGGCTGCCATTCGGGCGCGGGGGACATGAGGTCCCAGCGCCGACGCCGCCAGCCCTGCCCGGGCCGACAGCGCCGCCGGCAGGCGGTGGGGGGCGAGGCAAGGGGCGAGGACCGCCCGCCAAGCCCGCGCCTGCAGGGGGAAAGGGGCGAGGGCCGCAGGCCAAGCCCCCGGGGACGCCGGGCGTCCCACCGCCGCCGCGGTCAGGGTCGACTACAACGACCACGACCGCGGGCATCGGGCGCGTAGGCGAGGGCGAGCCCACAGGCAGCCCAGCTACGCCGGCATACGGAGGTAACAACGAGCCCACGGGCGCGCCTGGGCAGCCGTCCGCCCCGGGAAACCGGACGGGCGATGGTGAGCCTGACCTGCCGCGTGGGCTGGACGGGTATTGGGGGTGGAGTGGTTGGGTCCCGCACCTGCCCCATTGGTGGGCTGGCCGGAACGAACCCCCACCGCCGCCGCCGCCACCTACCCCGCCCCCGGAGGCGGGGCCGGGTCCCGGTTGGGGCTTCGCAGCCTGGGTCTTCGAGTTCGTGGGCTATGGAGCGTGGGTAAGCTCCCCCGACCACCCGGGCACGATCCGCACGAGTGGCGGATGGATTGGATCCGCCGTCGACCGCCTGGGCGTTAAGATGCTTGGGTACTGGTGGGAGACCGCGGTCCTATGCTTTGCCCTGGGCATCTTCACGTTCGTGTTGGGTGCCCTGGCCTTCATCGTCAACACCGCAGCCCAGCCTATGCTGTGGGCTGCCGGGGGACTCCGCTGGGCGTGGTACCAGATTACCCGGTGCTGCCAGCGACGCGGGGGCGATGGGCCCGGCGCCCATCTTCCCCCACCCCCTCCGACCCCATTGCTGGTGCGCTGGCGCGGGCCGGGCTTGGGCGGCGTGGTGGAGACAGAGTTCTACACAAAGGGGGTCCGCGGCCGAGGGACCAATCGGGCGTACAACCACGTTCTGCTGCGTAAGCACGGGCAGGTGGCCCGCATCAGCTGCAACTTCGCGGACCGGTACCGATTGGACCGCCACGGGCTCAACATCAAGATCGGGCAGGTCCTGGGGTGCACCAGTCGCAAGTGGCGGCTGAACCTCGAGGAGACAGGGAATGTGCATCTATGTCGTGCTGTCGAGTGCGCCTCCTGTCCAGTGGCGCATCCCATGCACGTCGACCAGTACGCGGCAATTGACCACACACAGATCGTGGACTTGGCTGAGCACGGAAGGGCCACGGCCTGCCGAGCAGTCGGCGTGGGACTCCGGAAGGTATTCGGGGTCGTCAAGTGGCTGCTTTGCTCACCCTGGTCGGTACTCGGATGGCTGTGCCGGGGCCGGCCGGAGCCCCGCTACATCACGGACGCCACGGGCTATCGCCGCCTGGACATCGACTCGGAGAGCGAGGTGGAGGCGGAGGAGCGCCCCTGCCAAGCCGCACAAGTTGGGGTGCAGCTCGCGGGTGGCGCACGCCCCCTCCAGCCGGAGGGGTGCGGCGACCGAGGGATGCAGGAGGCTACTGTCTTGCTACAGGAGGACGCGGAGGTGTCGGACGTTCCCCGGCCGGGGCACTGTCTCAATGCCCAGGTGCACCTCTGCGCCCACCGCGCGCAGAAGTATCGGTCTACCCTGATCGGCCGCAAGTGCAGCCTCCCCACTTGTCTCCGCATGGCGAAGGGCAGCTGCGGGGGGGCCCCGATGTGCGGGGAACATCTCCGACGGGACGAGGGTCACACCGTGCGCGTCGAGGCGACGGTCCAACCTGGGATCCTC